ACGTTTTACTTCTTATTAATAAAGTGTTATTAATAGTTAACAGCTAAACCAGTAAATAGGGCGTGTAATAGAATATATAATTATATAGCATTGCTGGGTTCGAATCCTAAAGAGAACAGGAGTAGCGTGCCTTACTCACTACTGGTATGTAATCTCTATCCTCGTAGATAGGATAAGTAAGGTTCAAATGGGTCAGAACGAGTATTACGAGAGTTCTTCTCAATGCAGATAATAATGATAATGAATAATTATTAATAAATTTAAACATTCATACCGTATTTACAAGGTAGATTTTAAAAAATAAAAATCGTCAAAGCCGTTTTCGAGAAAATAGTAAAATTTGTAAAATCGGCAATATAAAGTGACACTTCCCGTTAGCCGATTTTGACGAAAAAGTTGTTGTAACATCCCAAGTACTTATAAACATTAAATACGCGATTTCACTTCTGTATGACTAATAGTTTTTGAGTTAGACTGTTCCCACAGACCATTTTTGCGGGACTTTGTTATTTGGACTCAAGGAATCTTAAACACCCTATATTTTAACATTGCAATCAATCTGGAATCAACTTACTATCTGTACAGATATTATAAATTTTCCTACATAATCATTCTGTCAACTGAAAGGCTCATATAAGGGAATTCGAGAAAGTAGCAATTAATTATATAAATATGTATTTAAGTCATAGGGTGATTTCATGTTAATCGTGACTCCATCCTGTCTCGTTTGCAATCAAAATTGTACAAGATTAAATTTGTAAGTGAACATATAGTTTGAAATTAAATGTCTCACTAGTAATGAGCATGCAAAATTTTAAATAAATAAACATTACAAGCGCAAAACAATTGTTTTCACATGATTATCCTGTATTATTCTACTGACGTCGTTCTTTGTATTGCTCGTAGCTCTACATTCTTTTGTTAAGACCTCTCTCATTTGCATTCTGACTTGTTACATAAAAACATTTGTACCATATCGATAACATCTGTCTTTAAGATAATTGCCTTAATCTGAATTACTAAGTACTTTCGCCATGTTCTAGTACTTTTCCATGTATACAGTACTATTCCATTATTCATGGTTTAGAGTTTGGAAACAGCCGGTGGCAAGAGTTACTCCCCGAGGAGAATGCTAGGGTTTGCTTTCGGTTACTAAAGCAATTAGCACCCCCCTCTAGTACTGTGTGTGGACTCAGCGGGTCTTTCGGCTTGCCAAGGGTTTATCTCAGAGTCTCCAGGAAGAACATTTCGATGGTGCTATTAATTTAAGTAACTAAACACTTTTATTGAAATAATCTTATAATTATAATTTAGGATTGATGTTTGGCTGTAGTGAATAATTGAAGAGAAGATTGGTTGGGATGTTCACCAAAAAAAAAAAAAGATAAAAATAAATAAATTATATTAACTTTCAACGACATTCCGGCCCAAAGTTTAGGCTTTCATCAGGGCTAAGAAAAAAACAGATAACAATATGTATGAGAAACTATTACCATTAAAAATAAAATAATAATATGTAGGTGAAGCGTTTAGCCTCAAAACATGTCGATAGAATAAACTTAAATTAAAATAAAGCAGGGATAGTGGACTTAAAGGAAATATAAAATAACGAGAACAAAGTTAGTGATAGAAAGTAGCGAAAGCAAAGTTAGGCTATTTAACATAACGGTAACAAAGTTAGGAACTTATGAATAAAATGATAACAGTGACAGAGAGGAACTTATGAAATAAATAATAACGGCAACAAAGTTAAGAACTAATGAAATAAACATAATGAAATAAGGTAACATAAGGAATGGAAAATGAATTAACAAAGAAATGTAATTGAATGTATGAGATGAAAAAGGAAAGTGTTAGACATACCTTAGTATGGAGTAATGAAGTGAGATTGGCGTAGAATAAAATGTAAAACAGAGAAAAGAAATATAAAGTGTAAAATCTATGAAAACATACTTACTATATATGAGAGAATTAAAAAAAAAAAAATTTAAATTATGTAAATAATAATAATAAGATGTAATGACTAAATGTATCAATATACGGAATATAAAGGACACCAGCCATTCATTTTATTTATTTTATTTACATAAAATGAATAAAATGAAATAAATTTTATTAAATAACAATAATTCAATTTTTACAAGTGAAACTTGGGCTATTCTCAAGGCATTTGAATACGTAATCGACACCAATATTGAGAAATCAGTAATTGTGACCGATTCCTTATCTGTAATCAAGGGACTACAAAATGCATGGACATGTAACACATTGCACAAAAAAATTCAGCTAATGAACTTGAAACTAAATAAAAATAGTCGAAAAATGATATTGTTTTGGGTACCCTCACACATTAGCATAATTGGCAATGAGCGAGCCGATGAGGGAGCAAAGGAAGCCGCCAGAAGCACAGATTCACCTGTTTTAGGATCGATGTTTCTCAACGAATGGAGAAGAGAAATTTCAAAGAACGTGAACGGCAGTTGGAATGCACAGTGGAGATTACTGCAGAGCAATCACCTTCATCTGACCAAAGACGAAAATCGAGCTTGGTATCCTCCAAAACCTGACATCAAAAGAGTGTTCTATAATAAGCAGGCTCAGGATTGGACATACCAAACTGATCCATCTCCACCTACTTCTTGGCTTACATCGACCAACATGTGAGGTATGTGAAAATGCTAATCTGACAGTTGAACACATATTCCAGTGCAAAAAGTTCCAGAAACAGCAAATCGAACTCCAAATTGAAGACAAGGCACCGTACAAGGAAAATGCTGGTATTGAAAAAACGCTGAAGTACATCCGAAAAATAAAATTGATTAGTTATATTTAAGAAGAGCGATCGTCGCTAATGGCCCTGGCAGTCGATGCGACGTTAAACAACAGCAAATTAAAAAAAAAAATTTATTTATATCTTCCTAAAAAAAAAATCTTCTGTCTTCGAAGCAACGTTATATTGAAACCCTCAAAAATTCAAATTATTAAAGCTTTTATCTGACCGGTAGTAACTTATGACTCAGAAAACGTGGACTCTCACAAAAGCTTCGTACTACGTTTTGAAAAAAACACTCTGATAATATACTGACCTTCTTCTTTTTTTTTTTTTTTTTTGAATGATACATGGAAGAGAAAGACAAACGTATAGCTCTAAACTAAATACAAGATACTGTAATTTAATACATCAAACTAGGAAGCTTGATACTGATAGGAAGCATGGAACTAGGAAGCTGGAATATGTTGTATGAATAAGAAGAAAAGAAATTCCTGCCATTGTGTTCTGAGAGTAAATGTCAGAAGCTCGTCCTACTGGCGGACCACGGCTTCGACGGGAATAATGTATCACTTCAGAAGCCCATGCCTACTTGATGTCTATATTTGGAAGGTAGTGGCCGTCGATAGAGATAACGAGCGGTCAATGTTGAAACAGGCCAAGATTCGACTTTATAGATCGTAGAGCCGAAAGAAAAAGTAGACAAATGCTCCTAATCATTAACCATACCAGGTCAAGAAGAAATCGTATGAACATAATATGGCCAAATAAATTCTTACTAGTTGAAGAAAACAGCCAAAAATAAAAACCTAGGGTATGACTCAAAATGTTATGGCGTTTGCATAAACATCGCACGTGCGATGAAAATGGAGTAGAGATGTTAAGTACTGTTCCAGATACAATGCTAAATAAACAAGGGATCGAGCAGAATAAAACCTTTAAATTGATTCTCGAAGCGTATATCGATTAAATTACCAAATAAATTATTATTCAACGCTACAGTTATCCACACCTAAATGCCGGTCAGTGATTTTGAAGCATACAAGTTTAATGCACGGTTTCAAATTAAATGCAAATGCCCAACTAATATGAGATAAGTGACAATGATGACAATCGACTGATTAATCAGAGCTGGATCACAAATATGCAAATTTTGCACCGGCAAAAAGCCAACGCACACCTACAAAAGTTACATGGGCCCTCATAAGACCACTGATTGCCGGATCATGTCAGTGAAGGCTTAATGAATCAGCTATCTGATCCAACACACCCTCGACATTTCAATAGTGCCGAGGAGTACCTAGGAACTCTTAGACTAATCCATCAACCACAAAAAACAAAAGTTAAAAATCTATAATAATTAGTCATAATATTATAATTAAAAGTCAAGAGCTTAAACGACGATTTGGTCAGTTATATAGACTACTGAACAGAATATCTTATCTCTCAACTGTAAACAAACTATTCATCTACAAGACCTTACTGAAACGTATCTGGACCTACGGACTTGAACTGTGGGGGACAGCTAAATCCTCGAATGACAAACGTATCCAATCCTTCCAGTACAAAGTCCTTCGAACAATTGTCAATGCTCCATATTATGTCACAAACAAGACCTTACACCTTGATTGATCCAAGCTTGGACAATATTCTAAAAGTATGTTGCAGCTCCGACATCTTGGTGGCGAATGGCAATAATTTGCTCCCTGCAATTTCCTATTATCTGTGGGTGTAGACTAGTGCCTTCATAGATTTTCTTCATTTTATTGGTACTTGGAACCATGGTCCAGTAGTAACGCCAAGCTTCTTTACATAGGTGCTGTACCCTCCGATAAAAACTACTGCAATATAGGCCAATATAGGCTTAATTTTACTGACTGCATGAAGTTAATGATTATAGTGGTTATGAAATTTTCATTCTTATTACATACACAGTTCATTCATAGAATATAATATAAAATAAACTTTATTCTGGGACAAGGTCCCTTAAGAATAACAATTATGAAACCAAATCTGAATAACAAAAACCATATCTGACCAAAAATTACATTAATAAAAATTAAAGAATTATATATTGTCTTCAGTGAAAATATACAAACAACAGGAAGTAAAAATATTTTGAAAAAAAAAACACAAATGAAACGAAAAGAAAAACATAAATCAGCGCATATAAAAACCAAAATGTTATAAACACTATGGTCAGATTCTTAAAATTAAAACTTAAACAATTTGAACAACCATTCACTTAAATCAAAATTTTATTTCATGATTGTATAGCTTCATTTTGGGATGTGAGGAGGAATTGGTATTTGGCATTATTTTTAGAGGTGGTATTTGAATAAGGACAAGGAAGAGGCATGGCGGATATCAGATGGCAAGGAATTCCAAAAGGCAGTGGATCGGGCAATGAAGGAATGTTCAAATGTTTTAGTTCTATGGGAAGGAACATAACGGTCGGAAACACGGGATCTTGTTTTCTGGGAGTGGACTACGGGTTTGAACTGCAGGAGACTGTAGAGGTAGGAAGGATGATAGATCTCTATTTACGCAAATATAATAAACGAAACTAAGATAAATAATCCTAGGAGCGTCAAAGGGTCTCTTTAGTTTTTGCTGAGAGATCTTACACCTATAGCAAACTTTAGACTTCCATTGTACAGCTATATAAACCTGTATGTGTCGTATGTGCAAGTATTTCTTGAACTTTAAATAATATTAAAAGAATTATTGAAGGAAGTTAGTCGACTGTTTTATATATATCTTCCATTCTTCAATGGGATTTCGCCATCAGGTAATTAAAGGTACATATGTTTTCTTGTTTTTTTTTTTTTGTAGATATGAATTTTTTTTTTTTTATATGTACATATCCCCTAAATATGTAAAAATATGCAATATCCTCCAAATATGTAAAATGAAATGTGCTTTATTTGGTTTTAAATTGTATGCGAGGTAAGATAAACTGTCAAAAAACCTTAGAAAAAACAACACTTAGAAAAAAATATATAAATGATGTATATATGTGCAATAAATGTCAGGTTATCTTTCACGGTAAATGCTGCAAACTAGGTGATAAAGAGATCGAGACATTAAAATCTCAAAAAAAAGTATGGCTTTGTAAAAAATGTGACCAAGGCAAAAAGACATACCAAATTAGGGAAAAATCAGCCAGTCCACCAAGAAGTGAAATCAAGGAGCCGTCCGCAGCTGATATTCTCGGAGCGGTTAATCGACTTAGCGCCCAAGTCAATGAAGACATTAAAAATATTAAGTCGTCATTGGAAAAATACGGGGAACTCAGCTTCGAGTTAAATGAAAGGTTTTCAAAAATAGAAAATCATCTAGAGAGCCAAGCTAAACATCTGGAGGAATTGACTACGGAAAATAAAATGCTGAAATCCAGAGTGGGGGAACTCGAGGTACGATTAAACAGAGCCGAGCAGGGCCTACTCTGTAGATCGGTTGAGATCCGAGGCATTCCGGTACGTGCAGGAGAGACTCCTTCGGCCCTAGTTGCCAGTGTGGGAGCTGGTCTCGGTGTTAAGATTAACATCGAGGACATCGATTTTGTGGAGCGCCGTAGACCTAAAAAAGACGACCCTAGACCACCACCAGTTATAGCTCGCTTTGTGAGGCAGGCAGTACGAGACGAGCTGGTCCAAAGAAGAAAGGTCAAAAGGGACTTCTCAACTCGAGACATCGGCTGGCAGGAAAACGACTCCCACCGGATATACCTGGGTGAAGAAATGACCCCTGCTAATAGAAGATTGTATTGGCTCGCACGTCAGAAGACAGCGGCTGGTAAACTAAAATACGTGTGGTTTTCGGCGGGTAGATTGCGCTGCAGAAAAGGAGATGGCCATCCCGTGATATACATCGACCAACCAGATGATCTAGATGTTTTCTGCTGACCTTCTGATTTACGTCAACCTACAGAATGCATCCGTAAACTTCCAATCTTCTATTGTATAATACAGCATCGTGCTGGGTTGCCTATCTACTACTATTGTTATTATTGTTTCTCTATTTTAACCAATGTAATTTTTTGTTTTTTCCTCTTTCATATTTTTGAACCTAACTCTATTTTGTTTGTATTTTTTTTCTTCTCTTACAGCCATTATTTACTTCTTTCCAAATTGATTTTCACAGTTTTTTCTTACCTACAGCGTCATCCATCATATGTATACTTTTCTCCTTTCCGTTATGTCTAGCGTCTTAACTACTTGCCATGTTAATTCTCAATCCCTTCCTGCTCACTATGACGAATTTCTCCAATATTTCACCTGTAACTTCTACCACATTATTGCAGTCTCTGAAACATGGCTTAAGCCCTATATCCCTTCCTCTTCCGTTTCCTTACCTGATTATACCTTCATCCGTCAACACCGGGTTTCCCGGACTGGCGGAGGTGTTGGTCTCTATGTTCATAATAGCCTGAAACCCCGTATTCTAGATATTTCATCCCCTTCCAATCATCCTCACATTGAATTCCTCCTCTTCGCTGAAATTTCTTGTAAAGCACATCCTCTCCTTTATGTGGTCGTATATCGCCCTCCTTTGAGTCCTTTTGACTCATCCTTCGAATCAACCTTGTACAATTATGTCCCTTTCTATAATAACATCATAATTTCCGGTGATCTTAATACCAACCTCCTCACAGAATCCAACAACAAACGCTATTTGGAAAATCTCTTCTTCTCCCTCAACCTTTTTATTGTTCCTTTCGCTCCTACACACCATACTTGTTGGTCTGACACCTGGCTGGACTTGCATATCATCGATTCAGAGCAGAAACTCTTGTCCTGTTCTCAATTACCCGTTCCTTTCCTTTCTTCTCATGATCTCATCAAATTATCGTACGATATCCAAACTCCCACGTTTCTTCCTAAAACCATAACTTTCCGCAATCTTGACAACCTCACCCGTGATAAAATCCTACCGGACCTTGAAACCCTAAACTGGAACGATATTTATTCCTGTACCTCTATTGATCATATGGTAGACATCCTCACTTCTAATCTTATCCATATTCTTGACATACATGCTCCTATCAAAACCTCAACCTTCCGTCGCCAACCTGCTCCTTGGATGTGTCAAGAAATCCGCGACATGCAAAAGAGACGTGAGGCAGCCCGTAGACGCTTCAGACGAACTCGACTAGCAGATGACTATCAAGTCTATAGGGTACTCCGTAACTTGACACAAACAACGATCAGGAAAGCGAAATCAAACTTCTTTAACGAAACTCTCGCTTCTGCTCCTGATTCTAAATCAATATGGCTAACCCATCGTAAACTCTCTCTTTGTAAATCCTCTTCCTCACCGTTCTACCCGGTATCACCCGATGAACTAAATTCCTACTTTATATCTTCCACCACCAGCAACAGTTTACCCACCTCTCACCAGTTTTCCTTATCACCCTCATTTAACAGTGATAACTTCTATTTCTCCAACATCTCACCGACCGACCTTATTTCCTCTATAATGAAATCACACACAAACTCCATCGGACTTGATGGGATACCAGTCAAACTATTAAAATTATGCCTTCCCGAAGTCGTTCCAGTTCTCCTTTTCATCTATAATTTTTCCCTCCAGAACTCAGTTTTTCCAACTGCTTGGAAAAAAGCATTAGTCAGACCTATCAACAAAATTCCCAATCCTACCTCTCCTAAAGACTACCGCCCAATCTCCATTCTTTCTAACCTTTCTAAACCTCTGGAAAGAATAGCTCAATCCCAAATCTCTAAATTCCTTGAAAACTCAAAACTACTCGATCCTCTCCAATCTGGTTTCCGACCTGGCTTCTCCACACAATCCTCCCTACTAAAAATTACCAATGACTTACATACCGCAATGGACGGAAAAATGTTAACTGTATTAATACTTCTCGACTTTTCCAAAGCTTTTGACTCCTTAGACCACTCTATACTCTATACTAAATTAAAATCCCTATCCTTCTCCAACAGCTCTATCCTCTGGTTACAGTCTTTCCTATCCGACAGAACTCAAGCAGTCAGCATTCCAAACCAACCCCTATCTTCCTTTCTTACACTGTCCTCTGGAGTGGCCCAGGGTTCGAGCATTTCCCCTCTCCTTTTCAACTCATACATAAATGATCTTTCCAAATCCATCTACCACTGTTCACATCATTTATACGCTGATGACACCCAAATATATTTTTCCTTTCATCCTTCTGAGCTACTAGTCGCGTTCGCCAATATTCAGGCCGACCTAGATAGGATCAGTGCCTGGGCAAGTCTGAATAATTTAAATCTAAATGCGATGAAAACTCTCGGATCTTTCCTATTCCAAACAATCAACACTAGACACCCTTCTTACATCTACAGTCTCCTACAGTTTAAACCCGTGGTCCACTCCCAGAAAACAAGATCCCGTGTTTCCGACCTTTATATCCCTTCCCATAGAACTAAGACGTTTGAATATTCCTTTATTTCCCGATCCACAGCCTTCTGAAATTCCTTGCCATCTGAAATCCGTCATGCCTCTTCCTTGTCCTCATTTAAATATCATCTTTACCAATTCCTTCTCACATCCCAAAATGACGTTATACAATAAAATAAATATTGTGAAATAGATTTTGACTGAGGTGAATGATTGATAAAATTTATTGTCTTAATTTTAAAAATCAACCCATGCTTATTTTATTTTATTTTTATCTTCATTTAAATAATGTTATTTTTTTTTATTTCGTTTTTTCTCAAAATTTTATTTTATTTTTACTTGTTTTAATTTAATTTCACTGAAGATACTGTATATATTCTTTAATATTGATTAATGTAATTTTTGGCCAGATGTAGTTTTAATTTTTTTGTTCATATCTGTTATTCATAAGGGACCTTGTCCCAGAATAAAGTTTACTTTCTATCTATCTATTCTATCTATCTATATAAATGCTGTCCCAACTTATAATCATAACTTCTTAAGACTTTATTTACTTGGGGCTTTGCTGGCTAACTTTAGAGGGCTCTGGGTATCAAAGAAGGCATTGCAACATCTTTTATTTCAAAACCTGTAAAGTAGCATGAAAATTCCCATTTTTACAGGACCGGGGGTGGAAGGTTTCGCTTTTATTGCCTCTCGGGATGGGGCATTTTATTTTTATGAGTGCCAATAAAGTTTATTGCGCCATCAGGTAATTCCTAAACAGTAGAGCTCTTCCCACTGTTGTATTTCTTCAAAGTTTATTTTATTCATTACATTGTGAAATACATAGTTTATAGGAGTATGTTTTTTCTTTTGTAGATCCGTTATTTACAAAAAAATAATATTTAGTTTGGAATTAATTGGTTGCGTAAATATTATTTCCCAGAATGAATTACTTCAATTAATTTAATTTAAAAAAATAACTTTGGAACAGTAAAATCGGCTATTTAAATACGTTTATTAATTAACATTGAACATTTATTTGATGTCAATTCCAACAGCTTAATTAATAAAATGAATCATGATGGGCCACCAATTGGAAGTCGTTGTGGTCAATCATGTTAAAGGCCACCGTAGCATTCTCATGACGTTTTAAAATGGAAAAAAATCCAATTGATATTTCATAAATTCATATTATTAAATCAACAATAGTTTATAAAAATATATAATAATCATTAAAGAAAAAAATTATATTTAAATGACTCAAAAGGTAATACGCAGGATTAATGATT